ATTTAATTAAATAAAAAAAATCAATCTACCTTAGGGGTGGCAACAGCACCCTACAAGGCCGGGTAATCCCTTCTCGTCCCCGTCTTCGCCAATCCGTTTTATTTTTTTAAAAAATATAATTAAAATTAAAATTTAATTTTAATATATAAAATTATAAAATTTTAATTAATTTTATAATTCATTTTCTTTAACTTATTTAATTAAATAAAAAAAATCAATCTACCTTAGGGGTGGCAACAGCACCCTACAAGGCCGGGTAATCCCTTCTCGTCCCCGTCTTCGCCAATCCATTTCAAAATGTGAATTTTTTTACATATAATCAATTAATATTTAATTACGATAAACAAAATTTTAAAAATTTAAGCACAATTAACTAAAATTCTTTAACTATAAAATCAAATAAATTGTTCAAATATAAATAAAGATCAATCTAACATAAATAACTAAACACAAACTTATTCTTTGTACAATAATAAATTTAATTGGGTTCAGTTGGGTTGAGTTGTGTTAGGTTGTATAAAATTGAATTAAATTTAATTTTTATTGAGTTGGGTTTGAGATATATTAAAGTTGGACTAAATTTAAAAATAAAAGTAATGTACTTTTAAATTTTTTGTAAGGATGGGGATTCTTGTGAAGTAAGAAAATTTCTCTGTGTAAATATATAAAATAAAAACACCCCTCATCTTTGCTCCATGATAAAGAATATTCTTCCTCACCCCAACCCCACGGTAAGAATCCTCATAAGACCCTGCAAGGATTGAGAAAAATTGCCATTCTAATTTGTCCCTTCCTCTCTTGCCCCTTTTTTTTAAAAAAATTTATTCAAATAAAATTAATATTAATATGTCACTTTCCTTCACTTCCCTTATCTTTTACTCTTTTTGCTGACTTTTATTAAATATATTCTTAATAAATTATATTTAAAAAGAGCATTTAAATGCTTTCATAGTTTTTCCATAAAAAAATTCCTTTTACAGTTTGAATTGAAAAAAAAAAAATTTCTTATTCCTAAAAGAAAAAGAGAAAAAGAAAGGTTAAACTTTTATTTTGGTCCCTCAACTATTATATGAAACCCCGATTTAGT